GGTACTGGGTGGAGACTTTGCTGCGAGGAGGGTGGAGTCTGCTGGCCATCCAGGAGCGGACCTTACACAGGCCACCCTCTGGTCCTCCACAGGCCTTCCCCACGCCTCACCCCCAAGCGGACGCTGCCCCTCACCAACATGGCCGCCGCAAGGAGGCCGCGCCCCTCACCGAGATGGCGACCGATTAGCCCCACCCCTTCCCTGCCTCGACGACCAATGAAAAGGAAGTACGAGGATTTGCGCGTGCGCAGTAGGGCCCGGTGGGCGTGTCCCGTAATGACTGGGAGGGGGATCCCGGCTAGCAACATGACTAAAAAGAAGCGGGAGAATCTGGGCGTCGCTCAAGAGGTGAGGGGACCAGTGGGGGGTGAGGCCGCGTCGTTGGGTGCCTTCTCCGGCCGCCGGGTAGCAGATCGGCCCGGCTGCCATGTTGGAAGAGGGGCCACAGGAAGGAAGCGAGGGCGACGCGGGTTGGAGTGAGGGTCAGGGGGTGGGGAGAGGGCCTACGGGGCGCCAGGGTGGGGGGTCGTGACCCGGAGGTCAGAGGGCACGACGGGAGTGCCAGAGGTTCGCACGCTCCCGGGGGCGGAGGCGGCCGATGGGAAACCCCAGGGGAGCCCCAAAGAAGGCCGGGCCCAGGCGGGAGGGGGCGGACGTGGGACGGGGGGGGGGGCCGGAGGGGGGCGTGGAGATGGGGGCGCCCGAGGGGGCCGGTGGACGCCGCCGCAGCGGGGGCTCCGAGCGCCGGCCCGGGGACGGGGAGCCCCCGAGCGTCCAAAGCTCGTAGCTTGGGAATTACTTGGAGAACCTGCGGACTTTGTAAAGAAAATTCTAGAATTAGCGGTGTTACCAAAGGGTTTCAAAATAAGTTGCCGTCCATGGAAGGGAAAGCCCACGGATGCGCACGGAGTGGCCGCTGGGTCCTCCGGATTGATCCTCACTACCAGCCGGGCGCGATGGGGCGCGGGGCTGGCGAAGCTGGAGGCCCTGCGGGACGGGGGCCTTGGCGTGGAGTCCTGCCCCGGTGGTCTCCCTGGACAGGGGACTTTCTTCCCATCTCTCCGGTCCCCAGAGCATCCTCCCAGAGGTTGTCAGAGAGATGCAGGGAAATGATCGTCATCAGTCTACCACCTAAAAAGTGATTCCCAGGCTGAAGAAGGGGAAGAACTACCCGGAGTGCATGGGGGGGAGAAGGGAGAGCCGCCCAGCACCGGTGGCTCACGCCTGTAATCCTCAGGAGGCTGAGATCTGAGGATCACAGTTCAAAGCCAGACTTGGCAGGACAAAGTCTGTGAGACTCTCATCTCCATTGACCACCAAAAAGCCAAAAGTGAAGCTGTGGCACAAGTAGTAGAACAATTAGCTTTAAGGAACAGTTCAAGCCCCAGGACACACACACATACACTCACACACACACACACACAGGAAGGTGGTGAAAAGCTGTATAGTGGGAAGGACATAGATTTTGTAGCCTATATTAGAACAGAGCTGCTGGAAGAGAGAATTCCCCAAACTTAGTATCTTCAAGAACAAGAAAATCTTGTCTATATTTTAGGCTTTGTGGGCAGAGTAGTGGTCTCAATTATAACTATAGTATTCATAGATTCCAAAATTTCCCTCCTGGCTAAAATTTGTTTCTCCCCAAATCAATACTTGCATCACGTTGGTGATCATCCACAGGCAAATCAAGAGTAGAAAAAAAAAAATGGAGTCACCTGAGTTCCACATTTCCAGCTAAGCTTGAACCAGTGCTGCTGAGCCTCCATGTAAGCCATCATTCTATAAACAAATGTCTTTTTTATGGTCTATTTAGTGCCATGATTTTTGCATTTTTTGTGCTTTTTATTGGTGATTTTGCTGCGTTAAGTGGCCCCTAAGCATACTGCTGAAGTGCTGTGTAGTGTTCAAAGGCTGTGATGTGCCACATGAAGACAGATAGGCTGTTGAATAAACTTATTTTCAGGCATGATACGCTCAGTACTGTTAGGTGCCATTGGCTGTGATTTCGGTAGTAATGAAGCAACAAGAAATAAGATCGCTTTATACAGAGACACAAATTAAAAAAAAAAGTTTTGTATGGATTCATTGATGAAAATGTGGCGAGAGCCTCGTGAGAACCCGTGAGAACCCCGCCTGGTTCAGTATTTGCTACGTCAGTGCCAGTGTCAAATTTAAAAGAACATGGGCTAGAATGTAACTCTGTGGCAAAGGACTCGCAACATCCCAGGTTCTATCCCCAGTACCAAAAAAGAAAAGATAAAAATTACAGTTTTTAATTTTTGCTGGTCCTAGGACTTGTTCTCAGGGCCTGGATACTGTCCCTGGGCATCTTTTGCTCAAGGCTGGCACTCTACCACTTGACCCATATCACCACTTCTGGTTTATTCTGTTTATGTGGTGCAGAAGAATCAAACCCAGGGCTTCATGCATGCTAGGCCAACACTCTACCACTAAGCCACATTCCCAACCCAAAAGTACAGTTTTAAAAAAAACAAACCAAAAACAACAACAAAATAAATTTAAAAGAACGTAACTACCACAAGTGAGAGCCACCTACATTCAGAGCTGCTGTATTAACGCGAAGGCAAGCGTGGGTGATACGGGAGGGACTGACGGTGCTCCAGGAACGCTACTGATAGCTGAGCATGCTGGTACACTCAGGAGGGGGAGGCAGGGGGATCTTGAGTTCCAGATCAGCCTGGGCTACCTAGGGAGACCCCCTTTCTCAAAACAAAAACAAAAACTTCACTTACAAAAGACATGTTTGGCTCCTAGGCCTTAATTTGCCAACCTCTGGTCTAGAGTAACGGGACTGGTGCTTTGTCAGATTTACCATCTTGTGGCTCTGCCATCTCCCAGGTCCTGTTACCACCTTATCAGTGAAACCAGTACACAGCCCATTGCAGGGGAAGGGTGGAGGCACTACCCACTGTCTTAAGGATCCTGGACCCAAACTGCTCATCTTCTTTGGCAAGAACTAAGATTCAGTGGCCCACACATACCTGCAAAGGAGGCTGGGAAATCCACTCATCAGCCAGCAGGCCCCGCCCGTGCCCCGCTGGTACATTGAATAGACAGTTTGCTGTCTCCATTGCAAATTGTACCTCTTTTACATTGTGGCTGTCGCCATTAAATGAGATGGTAGATAGGTGGAAAGTGTCCCGCGTGAGCCTGGCTCGGTGGGTGATTGATAAACAGCAGTCTTTTTCTTGGCCTTTGTGGTTCTTTCACATCTTCATACCATGACTGTTTCAGCACATTTATTTGGGTCTTAAATTCACTATCTGCAATATGAAGGACCTGAACTGAACTGAGCTAGGAGTTACAAACTGTGCCCAGATAAGGGTTGTGCATGCCTTCCGTTTAGACTTTTTAAGTGTTTTGAGTTCCATAGTATTTGCATCTCCCTTTCTTTTTTCCTTTTGTGCCATTACCAGACTTGAACTCAGAGCCTCAAGCTTTGGGCTTGGCTTTTTTTTGCTCACAGCTAGAGCTCTACCATTTGAGCCACACCTCCAGTTCTGGCTTTTTAATGGTTCATTGAAGATAGGGCTTCAAACTAGGACCCTCAGATCTCAGCCTTCTGAGTAGCTAGACATGAGCCACCAGTGCCCTGTTTTTTCTCTGTTTCTTAATCTTCTTGATATTCCTAGATGTATTTTTGTTGATACTTGCATAGATATTTTAAAATACATAGAAATACATAGGTGTTTGCCATCTAGTCTCTAAGGCGACTTTTTTGCTTGGTTACTCACAGTTTTGAAATCTGCGACTCTGTGCCTTAGGAAAAGGCTGGCATCTGGCTGTGTCTCCTCTTCGCTTCTCAGTCGCCCCCAGCGGGGTTGAGTATTGAATGTGCTCTGATGCTCAGTAGCAGTAGATATTGTCCTCTTATTAAAAGTCGTGTGCTCGGAGCCAATGAAGTGGTGATTTAATCAAAAATGTTTGTTAATCTGACGAGTGCAATAAAACCCCACAAGTGAGTGATCTCAGCACCTGCAAACAGACTGCACTTGTTGTAATGAAGCAATTACCAGGCAGGCGGCACTCACCCCGGGGCTGAGCAGGCCAGCTGCAGCTACCTCTCGGACATCCGAGACACCTTCCACCCTCCCGCACTCCTAGCTCCTTTTGAGGCCTCTTTCTCCCACTCATTTGCCACCTGGTGAGATGTTAGAATTGGAAGCAACTTGTAAGTTCTGAGTATATTTGGAATGATTTCTCATTTCCCAAAGGGAAATCACTGGCCGTGTGTGTGTGTGTGTGTGTGTGTGTGTGTGTGTGTGTGTGAGAGAGAGAGAGAGAGAGAGAGAGAGAGAGGTGTCGGCACTGGGACTTGAACTTCGGACCTTGTGTTCTCACTTGGTTTTTTCTACTCAAAGCTGACACTCTGCCACTTGAGCCGTAGCCCTGCTTTCAGCTTTTTGCTGGTTAATTGGAGATAAGTGTCCCACAGATTTTCCTCTCAGGTTATAATCCTCAGATCTCAGCCTCCTGAGTGGCTGGGAGCCACCAGTGGCCCGGCTTGGCCCTGACTTGAGTGTACTTCATTAAAGAGAAATGTACTTCAGTCTACAGGGACAGGAAGTGGGGGGCTGATATAGAACTCACTTTTTAATCTGTGAGAGTACTGAGCTGTGATTTGGTCATGGCACATGTCTTTTGTAGCTATGCTGACCTGGTGTCCTTAGCTTTCCCCTTGACTAGCTGGTCTGAAATCACCAGGTATGTTAGCTGTGGCATAAGTTGGCTGTGGTCGCTAGTATGCTTCTGTTTGGGAAGCATTTGTCTACAAGTTACAGAACAATGGCCTTGGGGACCTCAGCAAATAGGAGCATACTGGTTACCCTGCTAGACATGTGTGGGTGAGTGGCTGTTCACATGGCTTCAGAAGCTCAGCTCTTATCTAGCCACAATACTAAGGTTCATCTTTCAGTCCTCATAGCCACGAGATAGCTGCCACACTTCCAGTGGCATATTCAACTGGTTTTTTGTGTTTTTTTTTTTTTTGAAGGCAAGAAGGAGAAAGAAATGGTACTACTATTTGTCCTTCTGTTATTAGTAGAGCCTAAGCCCTCCCAGGAGTCTCCCAGCTGATTTCTGGAACCTCTCATTGGCCAGAAGTGGGTCATGCCTGTCTGGCTTTCATGGCCGGGAGGCTGGGGAAGCCTGTGCCGCGCTTTTCCAGCGTCTGCAGTGGAGATGAGCAAAGGAGGAGGGGCTGGGAGTCAGCGCCGTGCTGGCCAACTGCTTGTATCTGGAGCAAAAGTTACCAGGAAGGTGGCTTTGCTTGCCTAGCATTGAAGCCCTGGGTTGGATTCCTCAGTCCCATATAAACAGAAAAGGCT